ATCGCCATCTGTCGCGCAGTACGGCGCAGGATGGTGGCGGCCCGCGCGCACTTGAAAATCCCCCATAGATTGAGCCCGAATGCAACAAAGGGCGCAGACTAGGGAAGGAGGCTCCTGGACAAGGCGATTCCAACAGCTTCTGTTTTGTAGCAAAACCCGCGGCTCTCCGCGACCCCCGCGACAGGGTCGATCGTTATTTTTCCCGACGCGAATGAGCTCATGCACCGCGGGCATTGATTCGTCATTGCCAAGCTGGGGACCAGCGTAGGACAGTTGTGCACCTCTCTCCTGCGCTCTGCCAGCGCCGCCGCCGTAGTGAATTTCGCCCCGCGCACCTACCCCTCGGCCCCGGCTTCCCAGCCACGCCAACACTGAGCGACCAGTTCACCATTCACCGTGATTTCTGGTAGATTTGCATGCCAGGCTTGTCCTGCGCGGCGTAGAATACTTGGGCCCGCCCTATCCAAGCTTTCCATTCTCTCGTGCCCGTCTGGAACATTGAGTGTTTTGATTGCCTCCGCGGGCACCAGCTTGCGACGCCCTCGCTGACCTCCGCCAATGCCTGGAAATCCCAGACCACATGCTCTGCCCAGGGCGCAGATGCTTCGCATGCTTTTCCACTTTCCAATCTCCTGTCGTCGCAGAGGCGGCCCAGCTGCGACGCGCCAGAAACTGCTGCCAAAACGCTGCCAAAGTCTTCTGGATGTTTCGCCCATTGCCTATGCAATCGCGGCCTGCGGATCCTCAGCGCCGTCGAGCAACGCGGCGTCCTCCATCTCCTGAACACCTCCTTGTCGGCGCAGCACCTGGTCACGCCATCTTCTTCAGTCCAACTTATCCTGTCTCCTGCCGTTCTTCTCAAGAGAACCGCCATAGTACTGTCAAGCGTTGTCAAATGTCGCTCTTCAATTAGAAGCGCGGCCAGCCCGCTTAGGCGTGCCGCCGAAACAAACGCCTGGAACAGATCCTGCTCTATCTTGCCGGTGGTGCCAGAAGACCAGTGGCATCCGCGCTGTCTGACAGCTATCTGCGCGGCCTCGCATCTCCTCCTGGTCTCATCCGCGTAGCCTTGGTCTCCTGGTAGGCATGGCCCCCGTGCTCTCGCCCAACTCATCGGCGTGCCCTCGAGCTTCTTCTCCCTTTGTAGCAGCCGCGTGGTCCCGTCTCGCCCTAGGCCTCGAAGGAGAGCGGGGTGGTTGCTTTGGCTGGGTTCAAGCTCCATCCTCCTCTCTCCAGCTTGCGCTCGAGGCGCTGCGTGGTGGCATTGATCTGATCCGTTATCCTTTTCGCTTGGTATAGCGGCCCAGCCTCCTTCCAAATTGGGGCTCTTGGGCGATCCGAGATACCCTCGCTTTGGCCAAAAACTGACTGGCGCTGTGCCCCGGGGCGGCCCGAGATACCCCCGCTTTCGCCCAGAGCCGACTGGTGCCCCGAGAGCGCCTCAATAACTCCAGTCGCCTGCGCGAGCGGCCCCAACGCAGCCGCAGCGTGGATCTTGGCGATGTCGCCCATGAACGCATTGAGCGAGAGATCGCGCTCCTGGTCACTGGCGGGGCCCACCGCATCGCGCGCCACATGCATATCGCCCTTCTCCCTCTCTTCCTTGTGCCATTGTCCCGCGCAGTCGTTGTAGGCGCAAGGTAAATCCCACCTGCGCACCCGGCGTCGTCGGCGCGCGCAGCCAGTCGTCTGCGCAGTCCATGTTCATTGACGCGCGGGGAAATACCTCCGCAGCGAATGGCAAGCGCTCCACTTTCGAGGCGGCGAAGACAGGTGCCAGCAGGAGGTCGCGTTTCGTGTTCGAGAAGGCATTGGTGCAGTCGTAGTTGCTGGCAATGGTGCTCACCCCTGCCTGTCCTGCTCTCATCGTCGTACCTTCGACACAGGCAATCGCGTTCTCCCTCGATATACAGCTTAGCCTTCCCTGTGCCCAGCATGAGTGCTTCGGTGGTTTCCCTCTGTAATGCGCCCCTTTGCGACGCGCGAATCCCCTTGAGCAACACGCGCGCGTGTACTCGCTTTTTCCTCGAACCCCCTCTCTCGATTGCCTTTCTATGCTGAGAAGGAACTATGCATGTGCCAGTCCAATGGTGCAGCTTGAGAACGGCGGCGCAAACTACGGACATCCCCAAACTTGTTTCTGCACGCCCCACTCGCGTCTGTCCCCTGCGCGGACGCCCCCAGCCCAGCATTCTCGCATCTCCCCAGGTGGTGCGTTTTTCTCTGTCGCCCGCATCGCTTCTCCGTCTTCATCTCTATCTGTCCCGCCCAGCGCCCCCCCTGGTATCCAACCCATAATCTGTAAAATCGTTCAGCCCACCTTGCACTTGCGAGGTGGGATATACCTATCCAAGTCCCCCACGTCATCTCGCTTCTCCGCTACTCGTACTTTCTGATCCCCCAGCTTCTTGCTCGATTGCTCGGGGCCCTCCAGGTTGACCGCGCTCCATACCAGGGGAAGGCCCTGCTCTTTGCCGAGGTTCTGCTGTACCTCAGCATGTCTCTGTTGTCCCTATCCACCTGGGCTCTCATATCCATATCCATTGGGAGCGGCATTTTTCTGCGATCATCTCGTCGTGCCCCTTTCCGCCCTCTTCTAAGTTCATCGGCTCTGCTGCCGGCCCCCCTTCGAAGGGGGTGCTTCCCCAATTAGTTGAATCGTTCCTCTGTGCTCCACCGTGTTCGAGCTGATACATTGCACCTCGTCTCTGCTCTTATCCCATTCCTCTGATGTCCTACCCTGAGCCTGTGCATATCGCTGAAGCTGTCGTTCTCAAGTGCCTCCATGGTCCTCATGCAACGTTTTTGTTCATTGCGCCTTCCACGCGTGCCCTGTGCCTGCGCGGCACAGCGTTGTATCTGCGCCAGCTCCATCCCGATTCCCCCAATCTCTCCTCCGCGTCTGACTCTAGCGCGTCTACTTTTAACTTCAACCTTTTCTGCCAGTAAGGAATGTCGCAGGCGGCAACTTGAAGGCAGCTACCCCCCTGTCCTCCTGCTTCTTCCTGGATTGGAATTCGTGGCATCCCCGCTCGCTTCGCCCCGTCTCTAGCGCGCCCGGCCCGCGGCGGGGCGCTCCCGGAGCTCTCTCCGATCTTCCTCTGCCCCTCGCCCCCCAGGGGTTGAACTCCGAGAAAACCTCGCCGATGCTTCCCCTGGGAGCTCGGCAGGCTCCTCCTCGGTCGCTCTCCGAGATGACCTCGCTGATGTCTTTCCTAGGAGTTCACATGGAACCGCCTGGGTCGCACTCCGAGATGACCTCGCGAATGCTTCTCCTGGCGGTTGCGGCAGAGCGGCCTGCTGGAGGCGGTCGAACGCGCTCAAGAATTCCGCCCTCAGGCGCCCTTTCCTCTGGCACTCCACCAGCATGTTGCGGCCCACCTCTTCGTCTCCAGTTTGCTGTCGATTCTTGCGCGAGAAATGAAGTGATGCTCCAGTTTCAGATCCAAGCCCAAAGGGATGTGGTCTATGTGTCCTCTCGCTTTGATCCTGTATTTTCTGTCGCCCCGCTCAACGCAGCGCTCCCCCGCGCGCGTGTTAACGCCCCCGTCGGTATCACTATGTGGTCGATATTGTTCGCCCTCTTCTTCTCGTATTTCACGCGATAGTAAGCTGGCCCACAACCGAAGAAAGTCGCGGCTACTGACGATAGGCCGTGGACACAAAACTACCTGAATGCGGTGCCGTTGTCGTTCCCCACCTCCTTGGCGACTGGCCCCGATGCTGATGCATGCTCATTCCCGAGCTATGTCTGCTTGCCACCAGATCCCTGCTGTCTGACCTGCGCATTCCCAATTGGCCGTTGATGCCCCCTCTCACTATGATAGTAGATATGCCACCCGTGTCGCCACACCTTCCTTCCACCCACTTTTTTATATATATATAGAGAGAGAGAGAGAGAGAGAGAGAGAAATATTGAAATCAACCTTTTCTACGCGCGCCCTCCCTCTGGCGGCAAGTACGCCGCGAAGATTGTGGCGTCGCGAGCTCTCGCGCGCAGCCTAGCCCTGCAGCCCCCCCTGCAATTGCGCAGGTGGCGCGTGCTGCGCGTGGAAGGCCTTGTCTTCCATCATCTCGTCGGACACCAGGACCGTGGCGGCGCGTGACTTAATGATCAAGTTTCCCCTCTCTGCCCCGAACAACCGCGCCACATGATATCAATGATCCGTCTTCCTCATCTGCTCTGGCCCTGCCCGCAGATGCGCCCCTGTCAGCTCCATCGCGCCCCGCCTTCGTAGTGCGCTGCGACTTCCTTTCAGAGGTGGGCAAGGCTCTGCGACTGAAATCCAAAGTTTTCCACCTGGCCCCCCCCCCCTCAAGAGCTGGGCGCAGCGCGCATGGCAATCTACATACCAAAACAAAGCATTGCGCCGCGAGCGGCGCCAAACAGTTTACGACGTTGCGCCGCGGAGAGGGGCCCCGCTCCCTGGCGCACGGAGCGCGCCAGGGGCGGTGCCAGGGGCGCCGCCAGGGGGGCCCAGCGCGGATCCAACAAATCCGCGCGGAGCGCCAAAAGCTTATCCATGGGTCGGAAGAAGTAGGTAGAAACATGAAGTAGGAATGTGTTGAAAGCTACTTAAGTGTCCGCCCGCTCCCGAAGGAGGACGGAGGAAAAGGCGAAGCCACTCGATCGTTCAAGTAGGAGGGCCCCTAAAGTAAATTGGAATCCGGAAATCCAAAAATACATACAATCAAAAACCCTAATAAGGACGCGCGGAAAGGACGCAAGACCCTTGGAAGCCGAAGTTGGGATTTTTGGGGCGGCGGACGACGAACGCCCCAAGGGTACCCTGACGAGCGGGCAAGCGAAAAAGGCCAAGGACAAGCCGCAAGAGCAAGGGTACCCTGAGCAAAGTCGCGCGTCCTTATTAGGGTTTTTGACTGTAGTTTCAACGACCGATGGGTATGTTGATGGCGTTTTTCGTCCTCGAGCCGATGCCAGCGACGAAGACGACGGCGAAGACGACGACCCGCCGCTCGCCGCCCGCGCGGGCGCGCGCCTCCCGGACCAGCGGTGACGTCGGACCCCTCCGCGCACGGGGCCGGGGGGGGGGGGGAGGGGAGGAGGAGGGGAGGAGGAGGAGGAGGAGGAGGAGGAGGAGGAGGAGGAGGAGGAGGAGGAGGAGGAGGAGGAGGAGGAGGAGGAGGAGGAGGAGGAGGAGGAGGAGGAGGAGGGTGCAGGAGGGGCAGCCTGTGTCGGGCCGAAGCGGGGAAGGCAGCGAGGCAGGGAGAGCATACACGTGTTTCGATTCGCGGCGATCACGGGCGGAACGCTGCGTTGCATCCTCGGGGGCCCTTGTTTGTCCTGTCGCGGCCCCATCCGCGTCGAATCCGTGTCGGATCCATGTCGGACTCGCCGGAGCCGTGCCGAATCCGTGTCACATCCGCGTCGAATACACGCCAAATCCGCGTCGAGGCCGCATCACCAATTTGTGGGACAGTCGAGGTCCCCTGAAGATGCAACGCAAAATCACGGGCGGAACGGGGGGAAGGGGGTGCGGCAAGGGGGCATGAAGTAACGCCGCCGCCCCCCGCCGTGACAGACTGTGGTGCCGGACGCGCTTCGGCACTGCTGGGGACGCACGGGGGGGGGAGAAGCGTTACGTTATGGGGGTGGGTGTGGTGGTGAGGGAAGGGGGTGTATGACCCAGGAGAAAGATTTTTATTCTGACATCAGCCGTCGCCCAACCGACATATACCACAAGGACGGGGGCGAGGCCGCCCAAATGGGGAGAGCCTGAGTCCCTTCAAATCGGGCCAGGCAAAAATAGAGATGCCCCAAAGACTGCAGGGAAGCGTCCCGAGAACGCGGGCGCCTCCCGCCAAGCGACGAGAAGCTCCACCGCCGCGGCACGGAGTCCGTTCGAGACATGTCGGACGGCAACGCGCGGCTGGGACATCCCCGAAAACTAGGAAGCAAGGAAGGTGAGAGTCTGAAGAAGAAGGAGGGCGGAAGAACGGGGGGGTGGAAGGGGAGGGGGCGAGGTAGGAAGGGAGGGAGGGAGGGAGTGAGGGCGAGGGCGAGGAGGGGGAGCAGGAGGAAGGAGGAAAGGGAGGAGGGGGGGGAGAAGAGGGGAGGGGGGGCGGGCGCCGCCGAGTCCAACAGGTGCGGTGACATGCGCGCAGCTGCGCAGTTGACCTGGAGCATCGCCCGAGAGGTGCACTGGGCGAGAGAGTGCTGGCTGGGGCGCGAGGCGGGAGCGCAGGGCTTGCAGGCTCCTCCACCTCCTCCTCCTCCTCCTCCTCCTCCTCCTCCTCCTCCTCCTCCTCCACCTCGCCTCCTCGTCCTCCTCCTCCGCCTCCGCCTCCTCCCGCTTCTCCTCCTCCCCCCTTCTCCTCCTCCCCCCTCCTCTTCGTCCTCCTCCGCCTCCTCCTCCTCTCCCTCCTCCTCATCCTCCTCCTCCTCCTCCTCCCTCTGCCTCCAACTCCTTGTCCTCCTCCTCCTCCTCCTCCTCCTCCTCTCCTCCCTCCTCCCCCTCTCCTCATCCACCTCGCCTCCTCCTCCTCCCTCCTCTCATCATCATCATCATCATCATCATGATCATCCGCCTTCTCTTCTCCTCCTCATCCTCCTCCTCACCCTTCTCCTCATCCCCCGTCTCCTCCTCCCCCTCCTCCTCCTCCTACTCCTTCTCCTCCTCCTCCTTTTCCTCCTCCTCCTCTTCCTCCTCCTCATCCTCCTCCTCTCCTCTGCTCCTCCTTCCTCAGAAGCCATTGTGGCTCAAGATGTTTGCAGGAGAGGGTTTCCGCGCGTTCGTGCCAAAACCGGATAACTCTGTTCCCCGAGCCAGCTTCCAGTCTTTTGTGACCGAGGGTTCGCCTCGGCACTCACCCGCACCAGTCAGTCTCGCGGCATGGTGCGCAAGCGGCCTTTCTCGTGGTGCAGCGGTTGTGGCAACTGGGCCTTCAACTTCCGTAGCATTGCCAACGATGGAAGGTGTACAGTCGGGGCGTTGACCTAAGGAACCTTAAACAAGGAACGTGGCCCCTTTCTCCCATACGTTGAGCTTCGATGTCCCATGGAAAACCTCAGGAAAACAGAAGGCAAACCGCAGCCCAATGAAGGAACACCGAGCCCCTCCCCAACGAAAAGGGTTCCTCCTTCAGGGCCCCGACTGTAGGAAGTGCAACAACGTCGTCGATTTGTTCGAGCCAGAGGGCGCCACCGACAGGAGCAACGGCAAGTGGACCAAACCGCCGTGGCAGGTGGACAAGGAGCCTGCGGACCCTGCTGCGCTGCTCCGGATGCTCGCCGCGGCCCCCGCTTCCGCAGGCTCGCCCCCACTGGAGGCATCCTCGAAGCCACGGTTCTTGCCAAGGGAAATGGGCATGCCAGATGCTTCCACGCCCTCCGGTAACGTCCTTCGGACGAAATCGCCCAGCGACTCGTCGACTTTCGCATCCTCACCACATGTGTTCCGATTGGTCGGGGTACTGCTACTAGGGTGATGGCTAGGCTTTCCTGACCCAAGCTCCTTAGCCATCAAACGTTCGGTTAAGTTCCTGCGTTTCGCCAGATAGTCGACATGCCCTTACACATGAGCTTTTCCCTTGCTCCGATATACTAACACAAGGGGTCTCTGTTGCAGGTGGAGATTGTAGAGGGATGGGCCCTCTACTTTCAAGTGGCATTTGTAGATGGATGGGCCCGTAACGATGCCGTATGGCATAGCACCAATGTTCCGTTAAATCGATGTTAAAACATAGAATGTTACGCGCACGCTACGAGAGGCGCGCACACCGTTGTGTTCAGTCAACGCGCCAGTTGGGACCTATCATCACAGGAATATTGAGCCAAACGCGTGCAGCTGCACGCACACATAAGCTCCAAAGAGAGGTGGATGGTAGCGAAGGTAACGACAAAGAGACAGAGGGAGTTTAGGGAGACAGTGAAGGAGAGAGAGAGGGAGAGAACGAGAGAGAGAGAGAACATAAAACACATCATCATTATCCCGGCGAAGGACCAACCATATGCAATTGTGAGTAACGTAATTGTTGGTTTCGTCTTCGGTGGAGCTCCGTGAAGGACCACGAACAATATGAGGGGTGTGCTGGCATGGGCGCGGTGGTGTCATGCGAGCGCAGCCACTGGGGCCTTCGGTGGGGCTCCTTGTGGGACCACGAACAGTGTGAGGGGTGTGCAAACATGGGCGCGGTGGTGTCACGCGACCGCAGCCACTTGGGCGTTCGGTGGAGCTGCCTATGGGGCCACGCAACGTGTAAGGGTGCGCCGAAATGAATGCGGTGGCGTCATGCGAAAGCAGCCACTGGGGCCTTCGGTGGGGCTCCCGATGGGGCCACGAAACGTGTGACGGGTGTGCCGAAGTTGGCGCGACGGCGTCATGCGAACACGGCCACTGGGACCTTCGGTGGAGCTCCCTATGGGGCCACAAGGCGTGCGAGAGGTGTGCCGAAATGAGTGCGGTGGTGTCATGCGAGCGCAGCCACTGGGGCCTGCGGTTGGGCTCCCTATGGGGCCACGAAGCGTGTGAGGGTTGTGTCGAAATGGGTGCGGTGGCGCCATGCGAACACAGCCACGGGGTCTTCGGTGGAGTCCCTGATGGGGCCACGAAACATGCGAGGGTGTGCAGGAATGGGCGCGGTGGTGTCATGCGAGCGCAGCCACTGGGGCCTTCGGTGGAGCTACCTATGGGGCCACGAAACGTGTAACGGTGCGCCGAAATGAATGCGGTGGCGTCATGCGAGCGCAGCCAGTGGCGCCTTCGGTGGAACTCCCTATGAGACCACGAGGTGGGTGCGGTGGTGTCATGCGAGCGCAGCCGCTGGGGCGTTCGGTCGAGCTCCCTCTGGGCCACGAAACGTGAGGGGTGTGCCGACTTGGGTTTGGCACGCGGAGAGCAGAGGCAGGGAGGCGAGGAGGGAGGAGGGGGGGAGGAGAGGAGAGGAGAGAGGAGAGGAGAGGAGAGGAGAGGAGAGGAGAGGAGAGGAGAGGAGACGCGGGGCGCTGTCTCTTCAAAGCGAGGACCCAACAACACAGGGCGGTTGGAGGGAAAAAAGCGAACAACAAAAAAAAGCCGAGAACGGGAGACAGGAGGTGGGAGAGGATGACCTCATAAACGCCCGCCTGCTCGGAGAAGGGGTCGGCATCCGTGTCGAGGATCATCTTGGCGCCGAGGCGCTTGACTTCGGGCGGGCGCCGAGGTCTCAGCGCAGGCACTGCTCCCAATCACGTGGCACCTTCTCTTCCCCCTCCTCCTCTTCCTCCTCCCCTCCTCCGCCTCGTCCTCCTCGTTTTCCTGCTCCCTCCTCCTCCTGCTCCTCCTAGGTTCTCTCCCGCAGCCAACTTGGCTCAAGCAATTTGGCTGAAGAGCAAACCCCTGTTACTCAAGCCGGTTCGTCCACCATGCTATCTTGGCCTGATGCTGCTGGGGATGGCCTGCTGCTGTTAGCTACGGGACTCGCCCCTGATGATTGTGGCAAGAGGTCGAGAGCTGTCGTTCCGCGGGCAGGCGGCAACAACGCGCGCGGGCTGCAGAAGCTGCTGACACTCCTGTGCGGAAGCTCGGAGGCCAGAAGTGCGTTTTGGAAGGGAAGTTGGAGAAACTTGAGGACCAGATGCTGTTTCGCGGGGTGTCCTCGGCGCCGACAAGGAGCTGGCCAATCGTCTCGCCTTGATCGCCCCAATCTTGATGCCTCAGCTGTCTGGGGAGAAGGTTCGCATCATCGACGTGGCGCGCCGCAGCACTGCCGCGCGCTCCTTCGACGTATCGAAAGACGGAGCCAGGACGAGAACAAATTCGGGTAAGGATAGATCGAGATTCTTCGAGATCCAGCAGCTCTGGATAATGTCTCGGGCTCCGTGGCCTTCTCGGGGCGCTTCGGAGCGTTCCGGAACGCTCTGAGAGCATTCCAGATATGGAACGCATTTATCCTCGTCCTGGTCCCGTCCGACTGATCGCACCATGCTTGATGGCGCAACTGTCTGGGGAGAAGGTTCGCATCATCGACGTGGCGCGCCGTAAGTCTGCCGCGCACCGCTTCGACGTAAGGTCAAACCCCACAACACGGACGCACAGTATGGATGCCAAGGCCTCGGGAAGCCATGTCGACACGCTGCGAGCGGGGCGCGGCCAGCGAAATGGGCCAGAGATGGGCCGCATGGGAAGGATGCAAATTGAGCAAGGACCGACGGTCCCAGCATTCCTGCAGGCCAACCACGGAATGTTCCTAGGCCTAGGACAGCAAATGCAACACCGACGCTCTTAGAACATACCCGATGTGCTGAAACAAGACAGCCCCAGCCAAAAGTGTTATGAAAACACCTCACGCTCACCACAAAAGGTTCTTGGAACACTCGTTGGTGGGACTAGAAGCGAGACAAGACGCTTCGCCACTTCTTGAGCGGCCAGCGGAAGGGGCCAAGGATGGGCCGCAGGGGAAAGATGCACAGGAGGAGGAGGAGGAGGAGGAGAAGTAGGAGGAGGAGCAGGCGGTCGAGAAGGAGGAAGAGGAGGAGGATGAAAAGGAGGAGGTCGAGGAGGGGGTTGAGGACAAGGAGGAGGTCGAGGAGGAGGAGGTCGAGGAGGAGGAAGAGAAAGAGGAAGGATGAGGAAGAGAAGGAGGAATAGGGAGGAGGAGTTCGAGGAGGAGGAGGAGGAGGAGGAGGATGGGGAGGGGAGGAGGAGGAGGAGGAGGCGAGGAGGAGGAGGAGGAGGAGGAGGAGGCGAGGAGGAGGAGGAGGAGGAGTCGAGCGTGCGAGGCGCACGGTCTTGTGGAGGAGGAGGAGGAGGAGGAGGAGGAGGAGAAGGAGGAGGAGGAGGAGGTCGAGGAGGAGGTCGAGGAAGAGGAGAGGTCGAGGAGGAGGAGGATGAAGAAGAGCAGGATGAAAAGGAAGGAAGGAGGAGGAAGGGAAGGAGGAATAGGGAAGAGGACGAGGAGGAGGAGGACGAGGACGAGGAGGAGGAGGAGGACGAGGATGCAGGGGCACACCTCCTTACACTGCGGGCTGACCCTATCGGCCGACGCCCCCTGGCCACGGCGGCGCTCACGGAACCCGGCCCGCATCCGGCGCAGGGCCACGCCCCCGCGGGGGCCGGCGCGCCGCGGCTTGCCGACGGGGCCGACAGCAGAGGCGGCGACCACGGCGCGCTCGCGGTACTTTCGGCGGCGAGCGAAGGGGGGAAGCGAGGAGGAGGAGGAGGAGGAGGAGGAGGAGGAGGAGGAGGAGGAGGAGGAGGAGGAGGAGGAGGAGTCGAGCGTGCCGAGGCGCACGGTCTTGTGGAGGAGGAGGAGGAAGAGGAGGAGGAGGAGGAGGTCGAGGAGGAGGTCGAGGAAGAGGAGAGGTCGAGGAGGAGGAGGATGAAGAAGAGTAGGATGAGAAGGAAGGAAGGAGGAAGGGAAGCGAGGAGGAGAAGGCCTCCTCTCCTTCTCGGGAGGCGGCGGGACTGCTCAGAAGCCCTCGCGCCTTCCGAGGAGTTCGCTGTGCGTCTTCGGGGGAGGCTCGGAAGACTTCTCAGAAGGCTGGGAGACTCCCGAACGTTCTGAGAAGGCCCGCCCCTTCTCACGTCCCCCCCGGGCTCGCCGCCGATACTCGGCGGCCACGTGATCGACGATCAAAAACGAGTCTTGCGCGGGATGATGTAGCGACCTCACGCGGCGGCTTATGCGTGGGCCGCCAGCGCGGCACGCCACACTTTCACGGGCGAGAACGGTATAAAATCAACTTTTTCGCCGTCGGGGGCGCCTGCCCCTGGGCGGCTGGAAAGTTTCTACCCTTACGGTGGCACCGTAGGGGTATAAACTTTCCAGCCGCCCAGGGGCAGGCGCCCCCGACGGCGAAAACGTTGATTTTATACCGTTCTTCGCTCGCTGATTCTACGTGGGCCGCCAGCGCGGCACGCCACACCAGAGGCGCGGGCGCTGACGCGCGACCGTACGCGGGCCGCTTACGCACCAAGCGTCGTCGCAGACGATCCCGTTCTTGCTGCGCCGCCCGCGTGCAGCCTGGCGCTCCGCATCCCTCGTCGGGGACTCCGCGGTGAAGCAGGCATCCTCCACCCGCTCGACATCGACGGGGCCACCTGAGGATCTTCCAGCGGGGCCACTCCGCGAGCTGCGGTGTTTTCCACCAGTCAGCGCGTGGAGGCGGCGACAGTTGGGAGGTCCTGCGCGAGCCCCTCGGAACTCCCGATGCCGGCGGCGGGCGAGGGGGGACTGTGAGAAGGAGAAGGCCTTGTCACAAGGCTCGGAAGTTCCCTGGCCTACTCAGAAGTTTTCTGAGACCCCTCGAAGACAGAGAGAACTTCTCAGGCGGCGCGATGGCTTCTGAGAAGTCCCGCCACCTTCTGAGAAGGCCTTCTCCTTCTCACCTCCCCCCTCGCTCGCCGCCGACCACGGGCCGCGTGTGCACGTGCGGGGCCACCGTCTTCTTCTCGTCCCTCGAGCAGCGCGCGGGAGCGGCGCGGCGCAGGACCTCGGCGTCCACATGCGGTGCGGTTCCGCGCCGCCGTGGGATGTCTTGCGTGCCGCTGGAGGTGCTGCGCCAATGGCTGCTCGCCTCAGCAAGGGAGGTACGGATGCCGAGGACGCCTAGACACATTCGACGACTTCGGGGGGGGTTCAGGCACAATGGAGCAGGGCGGACCCGGCAGCGGCTTCAACTTCGTTTCGCCGCCTCGGCAACATGTGCGGGGAACGCCTGCGGAGAGCGCGGGGCATGGTGCCCCCTTGCGTTTCTCACAGGTGCAACTGGAATCCAGCACGATCGCCAAACCTGGCCCGAATTCTGCATGCAATCAGCAGTAGAACATAGATAGTGGAGTGGAATGCCCTTTCTCGATGGCTGCTTGGTGGTGTACGCGTCGTCGTTGCCAGGAGGACTCGCCTTCCCGGTTCGGTCGGCGGCGGCGTCTACTCCGCGTACTTCGTCTCGTTCACCGAGGGCGTGTGCATGGGGTTCGATGCCAAAAACGTCTTCATACCTCCTCTTCCTCCTAGGGCTGGGGCAAAAAACATCCTCATACCTCCTTTTCCTCCTCCTCCTCCTCCTTCCGCCCCCTCCTGCTCCTGCTCTTGCTCCTGCTCCTGTTGTTCGTCCTCCTTCCCTGCCCGTCCTCCTCCGCCTGCCCGTCCCCCTCCCCCTTTTCCTCCTCCTTACCCGATTCCTCCTCCTCCTCCTCCTGTTCCTCCTCCTCCTCATCCACCTCCTCCTCCTCCTCCTCCTCCTCCTCCTCCTCCTCCTCCTCCTCCTCCTCCTCCTCTTCCTCCTTGAATAATTAGACCAACATTAGTGCGAGCCTGTTGCGTTTATGAAGCGCTGCCAAAAAAAGCTCGCCGCAAAACGATGCCTGGCGGGCGCCGCGGCAAAGGCGGTAAAGAGAGGCAAGAACAACACATAGGTAGAAGAGTAGGCGCCAGCCAGGTGACGCAGCTTGTGCCTTAGTGGAGGAGCCCAAACAACAAGGACACGTAGTGAACGTCATTTGTTATAAGGTACATGCTGCGAACAATGCAGCGGTAAGAAGGAAAGAGAGCGCAGTGGCACCACTTTGACTGTGCACTACCAAGGTCGCTGCCCAGGGTTTTGATTGAACATCAACTGCAAGTATGTACACTCCCCCGCCACCACAAATCCTGCCCCCAGTCCTCCGCCAAGAATCGTACTGGGCGCGCTGCAGTAGATGGTTTTCGACATGAGCAATGAGAAATCGAAAGAGGGCTGTTATGGGTACTGATATACCATGTGTGCCGCTTGGCGTGCTGCGTGCAAACATCATGGCCGCAACAAGCTCTGTGCGACTTGCGTGCGGTCTGGTAGGCTTGCCTTTGAGGTCGAAGGCTGGCCAGTATTCAGCTGTACCAAGTATTAAAGGTCGGGACTGCAGGAGACAACAGAGAGTGGCAGCTTCTGAGTTGCAGCCCAAGGTTTTTTGGGTTTGCCCCGAACCACCTCGGCACCAGGACCCACGTGTTGTTTGCACTGTTGCTCTCGGGTTTAGCACGAACCCTTCTAGTCAAGTCTAGATGTCGGCGCACTGATTCTAGGAAGCACAATATGGCCGATGGACGGATCATGTATTGTAGGCAATCAACACTGCGCATATGGGCTGGCCTGTAGAGTAGGCTGGCCGTGTGGCTGGCCTGTAGTGTCACAGGCTGGCCAGAAGCACAGGTCTGGGGTGCGCAGGAGGGGTCAGGAGTAAAGATGGATGCAGCACCTGCGCTGTCCGTATTCTTGCGTGAGCAGGTTGTTCACGCAGAAACTGCGACAGAGAACCTAAAGCAGCTGCCTGAGCACTCCTCATCCCCCCCGCCCACTGAATTAACTCCTCCAGACCCTCACCAGCGCACCGGGGCCACTGTAGAGCAGCGAATAGTAAAACGCACTGCTGAGACGCTGCTAGTACCTTGGGCTGGGAGTATACAGCCACGACGCGTACTCATTGATTCCCTGTGGGATGTGAAAAAGTGGCACGTTGTCGCCAAAGTGCTGCTGCCTGGCTGCGCCCGAAGCTGCGTGTGCAGTGTCGCGAAAGTACAGGATCGAGACGAATGGATGGTGCGCTATGGGCGTCCATCAAAGTCAGCCTCGGGTGTCTAGCTGACGGTGTATACAGCAAGGCACTAGGCTTTGAAGAGATGCCGTGCAATCCCAGGGCTGCGACCCATGGATTTTCTAGGATAGCCCCGAACCTGCACCTGGGGGAGCGCAACCAGGCGCGCCGAGCCGCGATGGGGAAAGGGAGGGCGAGCAGCAGATCGGCGATGAGAGACAGGGGAATGCACGAAAGAGATGTGCGATCCGAGAGCTGCGACCGAGGGTCTGCAAGACAGCCCCAAGCCTGAAGAGAGCGCCTCCACCCCGCTGCCTCCAACCCACTACAGTCGGGGCGTTGACCTGAGGAATCCAAAATAAGGAACGGGGCCCCTTTTTCCCGTAAGTTCAACCTCGATTTCCCATGGGAAACCTCCGGAAAACCCGAGGCAAACTTTAAAACAATCAAGGAACACCGAGCCCCTCCCCAACGAAAAGGGTTCCTTCTTCAGCGCCCCGACTCTACCGCGACCACGCTGCATGGGGCGACGGTGGCTCTGAGGGGCTCGCCGGCGGAAGCAGCCCGCATCGATGAACAAAAAAGAACAACGAGTGGACAGATGCTGCACGGGCTGCTTCCAGACACGAGTGCGCGTGCTGGCTCGCGCAGAAGTCCGCATGCGGGAGGGGGCGTGCCACTCGGTGCCAAGCCAGTGAGGCCGAAAGGAGGTAAGTGCAGGATTGAGCATGAACGCTAGCGGCAGCACGCCGCGAAATGAAAGTCGGCCCTATGGGTCTGGCCGTTGCGCGTGCGGTAGCGCACCGGGCCTGCGGCGCAAAGGCGCAACCCTGGAGCTGCGACCCCGGGTTTTGCGAGATAAGCCCAAACCGAGAGAGAGACAGAGAGAGAGAGAGAGAGAGAGAGCCACGAAGCGCGTCGAATGGAACGCGAAAGCGGGAAGGAGAGCGAGCAGCAAGACAGCGATGTGAGAAGGCAGAGGGAGCTCGCGAGATGAGTGGGGGGAGGAAAGCGCGCTCCCAGGGCTGCGACCCCGGGCTTTGCAGGATGACCCCAAACCTGCAAGAGATGGAATGCCACCATCGCGTCGAGAAGCCGCGATGACCACTGGCGTCGAGAGGCCGCCAGTGGTCATCTAGACGGTCTGACTGCTGGCGCGCCTGCATATACCGTGTCAGGTGGGGCCAAGGTGCGGCAATTGGACGGGATGAAAAACTGGTTGTGAATGTTGTGGTCGACTGCAGTGTTTCCCGGACTGGTTGAGGTCGGTCGGCATGTCGTAACTGGACTGACCCGCGTTGGTATTCGTCGGCTTGGGCTTGGGAGTTGCCTTGCGCAGCGTCGCCGTGTACTTGGGCGGCGGCTCCCTGAATGGCGCCCCAGGCGTGTGGTCGCACAAGCTGTCGAGGTGACTCTCGTAGCGGGTCCGGCGCGCGCGCAGCCTTGCGATGTGGTCCTGGAGCGTAGGGCCTCCAACCTTGTTGAGGAAAACGATGCGTCGGGGGGGGGGGCGCAGGAAGGGAAGGGCGACGTGCTGCTCCCTCCGCTCCCGGTCCTTCCCTCTCCTCCCCCTTCCCCCCCTTCTCCTCCTCCTCTCCTCCTTCCCCTCCCTCCCCCTCTGTTGTATCCTCCTCCTCCTCCTCCTCCTCCACTCGTCGCGCTGCTTCGTGGCGTTGCGACTGCTCGTGCCGCGATCGTCGGGAAGGCGGCGCGCCGCGTCGCCAGCATTTGCGTTGGTGTCGCCATGGAATATCTGGTGTCCATTGCTGGGCGCCGATGTCTCGGGAGCTGGGCGAGGGCTGCTAAAACCGTGGCAGCTAAAACGACTCTCCCGAAGGAAAAAACAGCTTCCAGGAATGAAGCGCGGCACGCGAAACAGTCAACGGGCTTCTTCCCGGAAGGACGAAGACAACTTCCCGGAGGTCGATTTTAGCAGCCACGAATTTAGAAGCCCTTGCCCGGCTTCCGATCATCGTCTGGCGGGTAGATGATCGGTTTCTTGCGCCCAAGTGGTGGCGGGTGCAACGGTATGAACAGGTGCGATGGCCGCCTTGGGTGATGGTCGTGGGCCTTGGGTATGAACAGGTGCGTTGCTGGTATTGGGCGTGGTCGGTGGCTGTTGTGCAATCTGGTTGGCTCGTTCGATCAGGTGCGCTGGTGGTGGCGTGTAGGGTCTGTGGCAAGTCGCAGTCGTCATTGTCGTGGTCGTTTTGCTGATGTGTACATTCGGCATGGGCTTGCTTGGGATCGTACATTGTTTTGGTTGCGTGACGGTGTGTGTGTGTGTGCGTGGTGATCTGCCTTGTGGCCACTGGTGGTGTCGGTCCACTGGGTTGGAGACCTGCTGCGTGGTTGTGCGTGGCGTCGGTTGCGCTGGGTCGGCTCGTCGGGGTGTCGGTTCCTTTCCATGATGGTGGCAGCGTGGGCGCGAACGGTTTGGGCCTGGTGGGCTGCGATGGTGGTGGCGGTGGTTTGGTTGGGATGTGCTGCGTCTGTTGTCGGGTGTTGGTGCTGGTCTCTCTGTCGGTGGAGCTGTCGCTGTCGTCGCGCTCGTCGGCGGCGCGTCGCCATCTCCATATCCAATCCCCCCGCCCCCGTTCCTCTTCATCCTGGTCTGCCTGCGTACTCTCTCGCCCCCTACCCTCTCTCCCGTCCCTCTCTCGCCCCTCTTCTCTCTCTCTCTCTCGCCCCCGTCCTTCTCTCCCGCCCTCCCTGGAGCCAGAGCCGCATCCGACTGACATCCTGCACGAAGGACCGCTGGTCGGGGCGTTCAGCCAAACGCCCGCCAGACTGCGGGACGGGCGAGGTCAGGTGGTTGTCTCAACTCAACTCGAGCTGTGGGCAAGCTACGGAGCTGTCAAGCCCATTTCCATGATACCGCACATTCTCGCGCGCGCGCTGAATGTTGAACAGGGACCGACCGTCCCGGCATGTCCATAGGCATACCACGACATGTTCTTAGAACCCAAAAATGTTCTAAGAACAAAAACAATGTTCTTAGAACGTCACCCCGGTGTATCACAACAAGACAGTCCCAGCCAGACATGTTCTAAGAACATCTCGCCGAAACCACGCAAGGTTCTCAGAACATTATTTGGTAGGCCTACAGGCGAGCCAGGACGCTTCGCCACTGCTTGGGTTAAGTCGGGCCTGCCCCCCTGCAGGGGGGTTTTCGACGAAAAATAAAAACATACCCCAAACATAACAAACAAATGGTCCAACAACAATATGGGGACTATTTCTGGATATCTCTTAACCTTCTTGGGGTATGTTTGGGGTACCTTTTATCTTTCGTCGAGAATCCCCCTGTATGGGGGACACGCCCGACATAATGCTTGGGAGACGGACGCCCCAAGTTTGGACGCCCGAAATGGGCACGGAAAGTGGGTACAATGCCCAACAGCAAATGTGCCGCAAACCAACAGCGGCCGCCTGTTGGGCAGGCGGCCTTCTGTCTCGAATGGACACAGGCCGCGGCGGCGTGGACAGCGAGTCCTGTTCAGAATGAACAGGAACCGCTGTTGGGCATTGTACCCATTCTTTCCGTACCCATTTCGGGCGTCCAGAAATGCTTGGGGGACGGACGCCCCCGGGGCTCTCCCCCGGGGGAGGAGGAGGAGGAGGAGGAGGAGGAGGAGGAGGAGGAGAAGGAGGAGGAGGGTCGAACTTGAGCCGAATTTCGGTCGAACTGGAGTCGATGAGATCCGTTCGGTGGGCCCCAAGGAGGTCCCCAACAACGAACAGGGGAGGTGTCCTCCCCAATGTGCGGCTGGTGCCGCCTCGTTCGGCGGCCGAAATCGGCGACTTCCCATGGAAACGGGGCCCGTCGCTCATCCACGCCCCCTGGATCCATGTCTGCGATCGCCTGCTTCTCTCTCTCTCCTCTCCCCCCCCCCTCGCGCGGGGCGCGCGGCCGCCTGGGACGGGGCCGGCGCCCGCGTCGTCGCCGCCGCCGCCTGGGCGGGGGGCCGCCGCGCCACGCCGACGAGCGCAGGCGACGGTGCCGAGCCCCGCCAGGGGTGCCCACAACGGACGCGCGCGCCCCACCACCACCACCACCACCACCACCACCACCACCACCACCACCACCACCACCACCACCACAGGGCTGAGCATCCGGAGGGACGCGCGTGTGCAGAAGAGTGCGCGTTGGGCGGCGCTTCAGGAACGAAGCGAGCGGACGGCGGGCACCCCGAGGCACGGCGGTGGAGCGGAAGCGGCGCAAGGAAGAAGAGGGGCCAAGGGCCCAAGGGGCACCGCCACTATGCATGCTGAGACAACCTGTTTGTCCACTTGACTCGCCCACTGCTGGCGGGGGCGCCCGACAGCGTACCTGAATGCGGCCCCCCAGTCCGCGAGACCAGCCTCGCCGTACGAACGTTAACGCAATGCAAGATCAGTCGGCGTCGAATCGGAAAATCGGACCGACTCGGAATGTGCGTCGGATCGGGCCGCCTCGGCACGAGGTCAAGACCAAATCGAGCCGGCAAAGCCATGTAACCGTCGAGCCGCATCGGATCGGCGGGCCGTCTTGGGCGCCTCTGGGGCCGTCCTGGAGCTCTCTTGGGCAGTGTTGGGGCTCTCCTGGGGCCCTCTTTGGCCGCCTTCTGGCGGCCCTGAGGGACCTCTTGGGCCGTCTTAGAGCGTCGGGAGCTCGAACAGTCCAGGACCCGCAAATCGTTCAAAAACCGAAAGGATCGAAACGGGTGTCGATTCGGATCGATAGGATCGACGTGGATAGGATCGACGTGGGCGCTTCAGCGCGTGCCTTCGAAACCAGCGTGGACTCAATGTGCGTGCATGCCCTCCTCTCGCTCCCGACCTTCGGCACCCTCGACATCCAGGGCCACATTTTCTGGGCGCCCTGTACGACCTCCTCCTCCTCCTCTTCCTCCTCCTTCTCCTCGTCGTCCTCCTCCTCTGCCTCCTCCTCTTCCTCCTCCTGTGCCAATACCCCTCCTCCTTCTCACCTCTCCTACTCCGCCTCCTCCTCTGCCTCCAACTCCTTCTCCCTCCCACCTCCCCTCCTCCTCATCTTCCTCCGCCTCCCCCTTCTTTGCCCATACCCCTCCTCTCTCCGACCTCTCTCCCACCCCTTCCTCCTCCTCCTCCTCCTCCTCCTCCTCCTCCTCCTCCTCCTCCTCCTCCTCCTCCTCCTCCTCCTCCTCCTCCTCTTGTGCCCATACCCCTCCTCCCTCCCACCCCCTCCTCCCTCTCCTCCTCCTCCTCCTCCTCCTCCTCCTCCTCCTCCTGGTCCTCCTCCTCCTGCTCCGCCTCCTCCTCCCCCTCCTCCTCCTCCTTCTGTGCCCATACCCCTCCTCCCTCCTCTCATCTTCCTGTGCCCATACACCTTCTCCTCCTCCGCCTCCTCCTCCTCCTCTGCCCATACCCCTCCTCCCTCCCGCCTCTCCTCCTCCTCACCCTCCTCCTCCTCTGCTCATACCCGCGCGGACGGAGCGGGCCGGAGCGCTGCTGGGCTTCGGGGTGGCAGTTAGGAAATACTCCCGAGGCCTGTCTCAGCCGTGGAGCCGCTTGGATTCGGTGGCAAGTCAAGGGAGCCTCCCATACCAGATTGTTGGCTCTGGCGAATCACCACTAATCAAAGCAAGTCGAAGCTGAGCCAACGCGAAGTCGACGCTAGTCGACGCTAAACTGTCGCTAAGTCATCGATTACCAGACGCCAATCGGCGCTAATGCACTCCAAAAAACGAATTACAAGGGTACACAAGGCTCCCATGATTTGAAACCGCACCTGGACACCTCAGGGCTGGAGCGGGTGGGTCCATGGCTCACCGAGCGCGTGCCACTACTCGCAGAGCGCCTGCCTACGTACTCGCAAACGTCCGAAACAGAAACATGGATTCATCTATGTAATGGAGCGTGTACCCCCCGCGTAGTGGAACGCACTTGTCGAATGGCCTCGCGAAGGCGGCCGGGTTGCACGAGCCACCCACTCGGGACGCGGGTGTCGTTTGCACGTCGGAGTGGGTGCGGATGACGAGACATGTGTTCAGCTGTCTCCCTTGCCAGAGTTGCTCGGGGCGCTGGATCTCCTGGTGAGCGAAGCACGCCAAGGGCGGCGCTGGAGGCGCCGCCAAGGGGGGTCCAGCGCCGACGCAAGAGATCTGCGCGGACGTCGGAAAGTCCATACCTGATGATGCAGTGTGCTGCTCTTCGACCTGCGGGGGAGCGAGCAGAAGCATGGGGGTCGGGCACGCACTGACATGGATTAGGGACTCGTGGATCTGGCGCGTGGGTGCCAAATCCACGAATCGTGGAAAATAGCCCAACACCTCCGATCACAATCCCAGGGGGTAATAAAGCCAAGGGCTCCCGGGGGGTAATAAGCTTTTTGCCACGGCGAGTTGTGCGTGAGATGTAGGACGAGGAAAGAGGCGGTCGTCGTCGTGGTCGTCGTCACACGAAGACTAGGGAGCCCATAAAGGACGTACGCGCCCAACTATGTACATGAACACGGCACCTCGATCCGCGAGACTGGCCGCGTTATACAACATTTGCGCAATGCGTACTCTCGAAACCAGCGTGGATTCATGTACGTGTACGTCCTTCTCTCGCTCCTGAGAAGACGACGACGACGACGACGACGACGACGACGACGACGACGACGACGACGACGACGACGACGACGACGACGACGACGACTACCGCGACGACGAGGGACAAGGAGCAACGAGGGAGAGGAGAGAGGCCCCAGGGCCGGCATTCCCAACAGAAATCGGATTCGGAGCATTGCTCTCTCTGTGTAAGCATCTTGTTCTTGGCGGCGTTCTGCATCACCAAGGGTTCTTGGCAGTGTCTTGCAGGATCCTTCGCACTGACCCGGGTTTGGGTGCAGGATCTTGCAGGATTCTGCAGGGGCTGGCTGACCCTCGAGTAGGAGCTCATGGTGACCCGCTTCTTGTGATCAAAAAGCCCAAGGTCGAAGTGCTCGGAGGGTGGGCTCGGGGTGGATGGAGGGAGAGGGGGCGGGAGGGAGAGAGGATCCTTCTCAGCTTGCTCAGCCTCGAGCCCCTTGGCCTCGAGGTCCTTGCCACGCGTTCGCGAGTGGGGAGAGCTGAAATGGTAAGAATCCCACAGCCCTGCCACACGTCCGTGATGACGTTGCTAATCAGCATAAGCAGATAGCAACTCGGGGATCTTCTGACCCAGGTCAATCCAAATCTGGGTCGGTCAGCCCTTGCAGAATCCTGCAAGATCCTGCACCCAAACCCGGGTCAGTGCGAAGGATCCTGCAAGATCCTGCTGGATCCTGCACCCAAGTCCGGGTCAGTGAGACCCTGGCCCTGCAAGATCCTGCAAGATCGGGCGCTCTGGCTGACCCCCGTTTGCATTGACCCCCGTCTCAAGGCTCCCGACCAACTTCTATTCGTAACTTTCTCCAGGGACAATGAAGTTCGGCCTCGCCGCCCCCCCCAACGTGTCACAAATATAGAGAGCCGGGGAAAATCAAGACAAGACCAAGGGTGGGAAGGGGGGCTATGATTGTGGATGCCAGGACAGTGGACCCCCTAACATTCCTATCATTGAATTAAATATGTGCTTAAAATGTTTGAAACATGTCCGCAAAACATGTAAATCGTGTCTTTTGCATGTTTAAGACATGTTTTACACAGGTCTTGGACATCTGGAAATGACTTGGCTACATGCTTCCTCTACATTGATCATCGTCCACAAGGCTATGATTCATTATCTGGGGCATGATGTTATCTTCCAAAACATGAAACCAATGCCGCCTCATTTGGCGACGGAGCGCACCAATTTAGTGTGGAAACGGAGCCTGTCGGCGACAGGCTTCGTTTCCACACTAAACCGGCGCGTGGATTAGCGACAGGCTGTCGCTAATCCACGCGCCTTCATCAATGTTGGCGCTCCCTCGAGCGGAGTGGAGGCCGAGGGAAGTTGCGCAAACGTCCAGTCTGGCAGCTGGAGCTCGAAGGGGGCGTCAAGACCGTGCTGCCGGTGCACGCCCCGATCGGCCTCCTCTCAGCCACGCTCGGGTCTCGGATCGGAATCTGGATCGCGTCAAGCACTTGGACGTGCATCCGCGTGGAGCACCGTACGGCGTGAAACATACCTCCAGAGCGAAGCCAGGTCAGCAGGAATCGGCAGAAATCGGCTGACACACCGAATCGGTGGTAAAACTGGTCGGGCGAACACTGCGGTGGCAACTCATGGGGGCCTGCCATACCATCTTGTCGGCTCTTGCGAATCGACGCTCATGGACGCTGAATCGACGCTCATCGACGCCAAATCGAAACTAATCGACGCTAATCGACGCTAAATCGAAACTATCTCATCGACTCCCAGAAAACGAAATCGGAATCAAGAGTCGGAATCTCTTTCTTTCTTTCTCTAGGCCTGAGTCACAGTGATGACGGCCGGTTGGAAATGGCAGTAGTGATGGCCATCACTGCTTGGACAGCTTCGTCCAGAGCGATTGCCTCGGCTGTGAAAGAAGAAACAGGGTCGCGAAGAGAAGTGCCTCCTAATATGATCGGGGTGGTCACTGTGTAGGCCCCCTTCCGGACGACGGAGTCGGAATCTCCGCATCGAATCGGCTCGACTTGGCACCCGGGAAATCGAGTCAACGCTGGCGGGCGGAGTCGGAGTGACGCCTGAACACTCCCAAGGCGAGGCCCGCACTGGAGCGCCACGGATACAGTGGAGGCCAGTCCACAAGGAACCTCCCACCAAAAAAAAAAAAAATCTGAGAAGACAGGACATCCATGCATGTCTGTTGTGGGAACGCCACGCTTCCCATGGCAAAGCATCGAAACCCAAGAGACCCAGGGCGCCCTGGAGACAAGCAGGGTGTTTCTTGGCATGGGTCTCCGCTGTAGCGGGATGGCGCCGAAAACGCAGCGCCCGAATCCCACCGCTTGGCGGGGCGGTCGAGGATCCAAGACCACAGGATGTCCAGGAACAAAAACAACTCAACAATAAAGTAAACCAAAGCAATGAGACAAATCAGCATCATCATCATATTAATACAACGACGAATGATGATACAAATTTTAATGCTACTACAACATCGACTACTCCTACTACGACTACTACTACTACTACTACTACGACGACGACGACGACGACGACGACGACGACGACGACGACGACGACGACGACGACGACGACGACGACGACGACGACGACGACGACGACG